TTCTCTGCATCCGCTATCATTATCATGTAATTTTGTGGGTAAGAAGGATTGATAGTGACCATTCTCTGTTTATTTAGTTTTTATTGCAAAATCGGTTAGTAAATCACATCCTATGCATATCAAACATTTCCTTTGATTAAAAATCCCTACTTACCCTTTTCTCGTAGGCCATAAAAAGCCCTTTTTCAATGGACTTACCCTTCTACGCATATTCCTTATCGTGTTAGCTCTTCCGATTAGAATTTTACCCTTTCTCAAATTTAGTGAGCGTTTTCGATTGATTATTCCACCACCAAATGCAATCCAAAAGTATAAATAATCCCTTTCCCCTGGCAACTAATCAAAACTATGCTAAAAGCATTAAATATGCAATCAAATAATGAATAAATTGATACAGTTCTCCAACAAATGCCCGCACGTCCCATTTTCGAGAGTTAGATCACGTATGACGACGTCACGACACACACACACACTTCACTGCACTCGAGCCTAAGGAGCTTACCTTTGGCGGTTGATTGGCAGCCTGAAAATAGAGTTAATCATCATTGAATACTCGTACACCTAAACATGCACACAACATTGATTTCTCTAAAATATGGACATATATGACCTCTGACCCCTGAAATGCCTGAAAAAGAGATAGATTAGGAGAAATAAGATGAATCGTCACCTGTTATTGCAGAAGCGGGAATCCATATGTAGCGGTTCATATTGGAATAATTAACAAGTGTTTAACATATAACATATGAACGATATGATATAACAATCTCAATCTCAAAACATATAACTGAATTCTTGTTTGAATAGACTTTTGATTAGAAGTAAGCTAATTGAAATATGTTCTTAAGAGTCAAAATAGGGAGAAATGAAAGTGGAGAGAGAAAAGTAACAGCAGCACCGATTAAAAAGTCCTTTAAACGAGGTTTTATTTGAGAGGTTTTAGAGGACAAAAACAAAACGAGATAATATTTTACTTCAAAATAGAGTTGAAACATTTATAGATATTGGGAGCTAGGGCTTAGTCTACGATCTCGCATCGTTTGAAAATTTTGGGGATCATGACGATGGGTGGATTCCACCACACTACGTATCATCCGTTTTGTATGGCCAGGTGCTGGTGATAAAGCTCGAGGATCGGGTAGGGGATCTCCGAGCTAAACACTTTTTGCTTTGAGTATGTGATTAGCGCTAAATAAAATCTAAATTCACCCTGTAGCCGGGCGGTAGTGGGCGAGGCACATACTGACGTGCCCTGTCGTATGATGCCGGTGATGGACCAGGTGCCGTCACTTGGCCCATCTTCGTTCGAACTCGAATCGCTGTCGGGGTATCAGAGCGTGATGCTGGTGAAATGGCTACAGAAGAGGGTGGACGACTGTTTTGTGC